AAATTCAATAATTGAATTATTGAATAATAATTCAATAATTATTAAATAAGATAAAGATCTTATTTTTCAACGTGGAAGTAAGCTACTTTCTATGTTTGCTTGTGACCATTTCATTAGCCGTTATAGGTAAAGAACAGTAAACAGTAAAACTATTTGCAATGCAAACTAGTGTGTTCATGATTATGATAATGTATTACAATATTATGATACCGAATACCATTTTACAACATCAAGCAGCATAATGAACAGATTTTGCCTAGCTTAAACTAAATCTAGAAGCGATTCCCCTTTGGTAATTGGTGCCCTATGCAGTCTGCATATAGGGAATGGTGCTATTGTGTCTATTAAATTTCACATATCAGGACTGTCCTATGGTAATAACTATCTTGTATTTGTTATGGCAAATGACAAATTCCAAGAAATAATCTGCCAGGCTGCTGCAATTCCACGCACCACAAGTCAGCATAAAATAGGGTGACCATACATCCAAAACAAAAATTTAGAAATCCCGGCCAGGACATTTCCAGGAAAAAGGAGACATATAATAGTATAATATGAACATAATTTAAAGGAAATATGCTATAACTCATATTTCAACATAAAAGTTGAGAAATATTTCAACAAGTTTGTGGGGATGAACATATTTCATCCCCACAAACTTGTAATGTGAAATGTACAAATTGTTTAGAGATGATATTTTTTAATTAACTGTGTGTTTCTAATATGTTTTTCTAAACCTGAGGATATGTATCTAATAACATCTAGCTGTCTTTCTCTGAAAAACATTTTAAAAGTAATTTTAATCTTTCACTCACCTTTAAACTACAAAACAACGAAGATTAAACATGTTTCTCTTTCTCGGTGAATGTCTCTACAGCATTGCACAGATAATTGAACAAATTTACCATGAAAGCACCTTTTCCTCTGATGCATTCCACTGTGAATAGCATGCCTGTTTACAACACATTTTTCATTGCACCAGTGTACAGACAATAACATTATGTGATGTGCCTGCAAACCACATTACGCAAAGCACAATTTTGTTTCTCTTTCATCTTTTCAAACACAACACATTGGTAGCAATTTAACAGCAAACACATTTTATGTTCCATATACGTTTCCTGTCAAAGGAAAGAATATATTTGGCTGGTGGGCAAAGAAAATAACATTTCCATACACTGTACATTCTGTAAAAATAGGCCACTATGTACTGTGTTAATATGAAGGGATTTTCCATAGGTGTTCTATTTTGAATTGCATTGTGTTGTGTTTAGGTTTAAAAGAGATGTTCATAAACTTACCAGTACCTTTTTTCGCTACTGATATTTTCCTTACATTCCTTTAGAAGGCATCTAACCTTGACATTGTCATTTTAAATGAATACATTCACAACAACCTGTTAGTGAGTGAATGTGAGGTGACATGTGGCCAAGTATGGTGACCCATACTCGGAATTAGTGCTCTGCATTTATCCCATCCAAAGTGCACACACACAGCAGTGAACACACACCCGGAGCAGTTGGGGGTTCGGTGCCTTGCTCAAGGGCACCTCAGTCATGGTATTGAAGGTGGGAGAGAGCGCTGTACATTCACTCCCCCCACCTACAATCCCTGCCGGTACGAGACTTGAACCCGCAACCTTTGGGTTACGAGTCCAACTCTCTAACCATTAGGCCACAACTTCCCCGGTTACAGTATAAACGACATCATGCACCAAATACTTATATTTTGTAAAAAAGCACAGCTTACATCACAGCAGATGCTGAAACAACATTTCAGCTTGTGTTAAAATGGAGTTCAATTAAAACATTTACATTGTCGGTTAAGAATGTTAATCAGATACAAGAAAACAGCAGCATTGTTTTACCAGTCTTCACAGTAGTGATGGTGCACATTAGAATGTGGCGAATTCTGAAATTTAATATTTTTTTTACAGTTGGGCTTTTCACACTGCATTTAACTCCAGGCTATTGTCATTTTACTTTGCTCAGTCGCTTTGCTTCATTTCTCGGATGACAATGGAAATTCTTAAAACTGCTTGTTCAAACTTCACGCCATCTAGTCACTTGGGCACATCATAAAAGCAATTTTTCATTCTTTTGAACAGATTGCCAACGCTTTGGTACATTCTTGCAATTGATATATACAAATGTCTCCTGTTTCCTACATATTCATTTGCATGTGTTGTTCAAAATGTATTACTGTATGCTGGTTGTCTGTTGAATAGTTACCACCCCAAAAAGTCTAGAAATTAGTTCACTGCACAAGTCATTACATGTAAAATGTTTGAACCAGCTGTCATAATCAGTCAAGCATATTTTCTATCAGACTTTTTTGGAAATGTGTCCTGAATTAATGAACTGCTCTGCAGGCGAATGCGACTGATAAGACATTCCAAAGGATTATTTTGATGCTGCATTGCAAGGGAAGAAATGTCAGGATCCTGCCCTGACAGCCTTGTCTGTCCCGTCTTTGTTTAATGTGTCTTTATTTATTTTGTGCCTAAGCACATGGCTGTGTCTTTGTTTGTCCTGCCCCCTTGTTTAGTCCTTGTTTGTCCAGTTGTGTTCATCTGATCCTCGTGTGCACTGCTCCCTTTATATTGTGCTCATTTCCCTCTTGTCTTTGTTGGTTCATTTTGTGTGTGCCTTGTGTGCATTCTCCTTGCTTGTGTCTTTAGTCTTGTTAGAGCTTGCTATTCAGTATATTGCATCTAGTCTAGTTTTTATTTGTTCCCGTGTTTAGTCTATAGTCTAATTCCAGTTTTTGTGGTTTAGTTCTTTATGTTAGTTCTTGAAACTTTTGATTTTGTCCTTTTATTTTCTTTTTAGTTTTCAGCAAGGTTGCTGTCTTGTCTTTATTTATTTTGTTTGTAGTTCTAGTCATTTATTCCTAGCTTTTTCCTGTTGTTATCCTTTTTGTTTTCATAAGTTCCAGTTAATAATTTAGTATTTATTTTATTACTTTAGTTTTTCCTTTTCAGTTTAATTTGTTTTATCTCCCTAGTCATAGTTTTGGAAATTTTTACTTTTGATCTGTGTCTATCTCTTGTCTCTCCTGTTGTCTTGTCTTTGTGTGTGTCTGTCGTGTTGGTTCCTGTCCTGCTTCCTGAGTCCTCCCCTGGTCGCTGATTCTTCTGAACTGACAGACATTTTGGTGCTTCAAGAGTTCCTTTGTGTGTGTCTGTCGTGTTGGTTCCTGTCCTGCTTCCTGAGTTCTCCCCTGGTCGCTGATTCTTCTGAACTGACAGACATTTTGGTGCTTCAAGAGTTCCCATCCCCAGGGCCAAGCCTGTGGTTCCTTGAACTGCTACCTAGTCCCCTTTTGCCACAGAGTCTGGAGCTACCCCCATCCCCAACCAGCCTGTTCTCCTGTCGTGTGCCCTGCCCTATTGTGTGGACTGTCTTCCTGCCTTTTGTGTTCCCATTTTTGTTAACTCTGTTCCCCCTGTTCATTCTGCATCTGGGTCCTCCCTTGCCAAACCGTGACAAGAAATCCCTAGAGATGTGGAGGAGAATCTGTGGTCCAACAGACCGGGACGCCAGGGGGTATACAAAGACTGCACTGTAATTCCCCATACAGTGCTGCATTTACAGTTTTAGTGGTGTTTCCTATGTTTACTTTTCTAATTTTGTATTTTTTTTCTTTGTGCTGTAAAATGCCATGTCTTTTCCCTGTCCAATCTCTTGCAATGAGTATGCCACATACAGTAATATAACTTTGTAGTCTGTACTGCTGATACATACCATACAGTACAGGAAAAGTTCAGCATTGTGCATTTTTAATCATTGTAAACAAAACTGTAGTAATTTTTTGCACTGATATACAGAAAACATGGCTATGCATTCTGAACAATCTTGTTTATGAACAATGACACAAGGACTTGTCATTATAATGCAACTGATATGTTCATTGACATAAATATTTACTTTTGAGAGATGAACTAATTATTTTGAGCAAGTTACCGACTTTTCAGATAAGCCATTCTGTGGCACTGTTTGTACAAATGGGTTTGCAAATGTTAGAGTCCACATGAAATCAAACTTGACACTATTCACTTTGTTAGCGCACCTTGCTAGATGAACAATTAGTATGTGCAGGTTAATCCACAGATTGTCTTGGTATCAAAATCTGAAATTGACAGAAAATGAGTTAATTGAATTGAAGAATAGATCATTTTATTCTTACAGTTATAGTCGCCTGGATAGTCAGAAATATATAAACTAATGAAGAGCAAGAGCAAGACAAGCGGTTACAACACAGGTCGCATGCTGTGTTTGTCCAATCAATAATATTGACACTGTAAAATTCATGAACGTACAGTGTGAAACGATTCCTTTGTAAGCGTGAAACATGGAAAACAATAAAGCAAGATTGGGTATTTGTGAAAAGCCCTGTTATCAAGCGAGTACATGAAGTATGTTCATTTGCGCTTTGCTTTTCCATTTCCTTTTTCATCTCTCAGTATCTGGCTCTCCTTATTCAACCTTCGAGTACTACTCTCACCATAGACATTATTTTATTCTTATAGACACACATGCAAAGTAAAATTTTGTGCTGCCCTAAAGCTGAGTGTATGGATAATGGATGAACTGACAAATTGATGGACAGTCTTGAAACATGGATAGTATTTCAAAGAGATGGGGTGGGATCAGTGCTCTCATACTTATTGTGATTCTCTGCACATGCACGGGAAGCATTTGATAACTGCTAGGGGCATTACAAAGCTGTCACTGACCTTCTTATTCATTTTAGTGTTAGCAAGGTATTTTTGCTAATAGAAGAAGCTATTTCAGTTAGGATCAGCTACCAAAAAATTTGGCTCTGGACATGTGTGGACAAGCCTCTACATGGCAATACAAAATCAGAAGGCCTTCACCATCACTTATAAAGACAAAGAAGTGTTGAGAGACATTGAGCTTTTCACATTGAACCTCCGATTATTGATAACCAATGAAAAGAGTAATTATTCTGTATCTTCAATAACCTTGAACGCCGGATCAATTCATATCTTTTATTTAACACTTGCAGCACAGCTCCCATCACAAAGGAATTGCAGGCATGTTTACATTTCGTTTCATGTAATGTCCATATTCCAGTTTACTCTGCTACAATGGTAGCTTACAAAGAGGAAAGCTGAATCCTTTCATGGTCATGTACATAAATGCTGAGATGTGCTGCCTGGAAACAAAGGCATTTATTAGGTAATTTATAACAACTATTTTGTTCAAAATTTCCATTTCATTTTATTACACCATATCTCACCTGAAATCATGTCTCGTCTTTGTACATCTTTTACACATCGACTTTCTTCTTAAGGAACAATGAGTTTAATGAAAGGAAATGTGATGGAAATACAAATTGCTCCTTAGCCAGGTCATTATTTAGGGAGTGAAAGGATATGAATTAGGCCAGACTTTCATAACGTGTACATATACCTACTTTGTGTCTTCATTGACAGAAGAAAAATGGCTTTGATGTCCTTCAAGAACAATGGAAAACAACCAAGGTTTCTCTCTCAAGAGTTCACAGAAATGACGAGGACTACAGACAGTTTGCTCAGTGTCCGAATGAGTGGTTCAGTTTTGCTAGAGGGGACACTTGGATGGTTCAGCAGACTTGCATTATCTCAGCACTGATGACTTAACAGATAGTGCCAAACTTATCTAACCATGAAAACATCAGCAGCAGCAGCCATACACAGACAGATATTATCACCAGCAGGTGAAAATCTGAACACCAGGCCTGCAGGTTTTTTGATGCGTGTTGGAAATCCCCTTTCCTCCTGGAACAACGGTTAGAGCGAGCGCATTGCTTTTGTGTCTTCTGTGTCTGAACTGAGAAGAAGGCTTCTCTTGATGTTCTTCTCACTTTCTACTCATAAAACCCAAAGGTTTTCATTTTGGTCTTTCTGTTCCTCATCGCTGTCTGGAAAAAAGGTTTCTAAACGCGTTGTTGTAGTTCTTGTTAAAGGCTGTGTAGATGAGTGGGTTAAAGAAGGAGTTTGAGTAACCCAGCCAGAGGAAGACACTTTTCCAGACAGGAGGGATGTCGCATGAACAGAGCGGAATGATGAGCTCAGCAAGGAAAAAGGGAATCCAACAGAGCACAAACACACCAATCAGGATGCCCACCATCAGAGCCGCTCTCCTCTCTTTCTGCTCTCGCCACGTCTCGCCATCCGTCTGGAACGATACAGTAGCGTGACGAACTGTGAAGGCCATCTGTGGCTGTCGTTCAGCTTCCTTAACCTGGCAGTAAACAAACAGGACGATGAAGAAATGTATTGGTAGTGTTAATGAAGCACACAACTATTTGAAAGTAAACTAAAGAATTTGCTCTTAAAACACATTAAAGCTTAAATGGTTCATTATTGCCTGATAGCAGGCAACTTTTTAGGCTTTCCTACAATCTATACCAACCTTATCCACTTTATGTTGCTCGGTGGGCAAAAAGCAGCAACTACACATTTTGTCAAAATTGAGTCTCTGCGATCAGTTCTGTGTCAGACGTGTTTGGATCAACTATGCACAGATTCATAGAAAACGAATTGTTAAATTCATATCTCATAATTAAAAATGTAATCAAAAACACTTTGAAGCCGTGTAACTTTGTAAGGCAGTAAAAAATTATTTTTGTACATATCTGTCTAGATGTCACATTTTTACTACAATGATCTTTAAAGGACACCCGCTAGGCTTTTCTCGATTTTACCTTTCCTTTAGCGTGTGTATAGCAGTTTGCATTTAAACGATCTGCACAAAGTCCATGTCAAATGGAGTTAATCTCTCCAACAGAAAACACTTGCCTGAAATGTCTTGCTTGTAGTCCTTCCATTATTTCCATGACTTTGCTACGTCACTATAGGTGCATACATGCCATGTCGTAATTACCGTAATTGCAAGATTCCAACTTGAAAAAAGCCTTCACCTCCTTGTAGAACGTGTAATTACAACATAATTAAAATGTAAAAGAGTAAACTGGAAATTTTCTGAGAGCTCCGACTTGTACCATGTGACCACTGCAGATTCAATTAGGCATTGATAGCGCTGACATAGAAACACATAATTCTGAGTCTGAGGATGTGAACAGCTCAGAATAGAAAGTCACGTGTTGTCACCTAGAAATTATGGTAATTATGACATGCTGTGAACGCAGCACATGTTACACATTTGCATAATGCCCGCCTACTAGCTGCTCTGGCCCGCCCTCAAAAAACAGTTATTTGAATTCGCTATGTCGAGAAGACAGTTTTTTTTTTCGATGCAATGCCACAGTTACCATAGATTTAATGCTGAAACCCCTGGAGCTGAAACCCAATTACAGTAAGGAGAAAAACAATCAGTCTATTCCACATACATGCATTAATGCTGTAAAATACGAAGCAGTTTTCCCCAGCTTTGTGAAACTTGAGTTGTTATGTGACAAATCTTCCCTTGAAAGCAGAGGTGTGACGTTTCTAAATAAAGACAGACTTAGATTTCCTGTATTTGCTCACAAAGTTCACTATGACCAACTAAGAAGTCTGAACTGTTTGGATCACACACTACTTGCCCAAAGCATTTGGCTCAATTGCCCCACAGTCACCCTTTTGGAAAATTGTCTTTAGTAATATTCTAGATGATTCTCTATGTTGGCAAATCACCAACATGTATAATTAAGCAATAGCACAGATTTGTATGTGCCAAAAAAAAGTTTCAAAAGAAGCGTCAAGCTTGATGTGTTGCCAAGCAACGCACATAATGACAGTGTGTTAAACTTGCACCACTTTACTCCACTTCCATAACATTCACATACTCTAGTCTAGAACGGGGCAAACAGACAAGCAGAGTGATAAACAGTGAAACATCCCAGTGTTGTTATATGAACTATCAATGCCTCTAAAGCGCAGCTTATCCAATCAAATTAGAGGACCAGAACTAACTGTATATCTTTAATCTCTAAATGTATAACATTATATGAACACGGTTTATGTATTCCATCTTGTGTTTTTAAAATATTATTTAAATGTGCTTTAGAAGCTTTTTGTTGAAAGGCTGTAGTTGAGTGCACAGAGTACTGTGGCAGAACAAAGCACAATTACATGCGTATATGTGTGTGTGTGTTTGTTTGTGCGTTTCGACAGACAAAGGAGGCAACGAGGCAATTGACTGATTTTTTGGATCAGTGTACGTTAGTGAGAATAATGGACTTAAGTATGTGAAAACACAGATGAAAAGAAAGAGTGTGAGGCTGTTTGAGTGCATACAAAAGGTAGAACAAGACATAAAAGAGATGGTGGACAGGTTGAGGAAAAAACATTTCAGAATAATTGGATAAAACCTAAAGATGTGTATGCAAATTGTATGAAAAAGGAGTGGCAGTTGGTATCTGACACACCCCAAAGATGCCACATTCTCTCATCAAATTCTCTGCATTGAATGTATGTAGAGAATGTTGATTGTATTGGTTGCTTTTGTAGGTGTTCTTTTGTACATTTTCTTTAATATTAGAAATGAAAACTTTTTCTATTTCAAATTATAAAATCAGTTAAAATTAAAAAAGAATATTACAATATATACACCTTGTGTCTATACGTATGTTTTAAAATAGAATATAGGTTGGATTGTTATGGAGTTTGCCTTTCTTACTATCAAATGTCATCTTTGTGACTTTTTATTCATCACTACACTGACATAGGGTGGATAAATTTAGCAATGCAGACAAAAGAAAAGACAAAAAGGTGAGCCATACAGAGAAGAAAGGAAGAGAATAGAATTAAAAGAGAGACAGAAGAAGAATCCAATAAATGGAATTAGGCTTTAATTGCGTGTCTACTTTAACATTGCAGTTTAAGATTTTCCCCTTGAGGAAAGAGGGTGGACACAGAGCATCCATCCAGTCTAGATTTTTACTGTGATTAATCCAAACTTTATATATGGAGAATTTAAATTGGAGAATGCCAAATTAATGATAGGATGTTGTTTAAATTATATTGTCATGTGGTGTTATTTGATGTGAAATTTCATCACTAAAATGTAATTATGTTGAAACCTGATTGTAGAGCCCATTAAAATTAGAACATGAACATTATCTGGGAATCTAAAAAGCCAGTACAGAAATTAATATTTACAAATGATTGTTCTGTGTGAGGAAGCAGTGAGAAGCTGCTTCTAATTATACCTTTTTCTCTCACTCTGGGCATGTGTGTGTTGGGCGGGAACTGTGTCAATGTGGGGCAGGTGTCAGCTCCTGCGGGTTGAGCCTATCTTCTGAGAAAATAGCTCTGCGATGTTTGATCTTCATCTCACACTGTTACCCAAACATTTCTATTCTCTCTGTTTTTTAGCCCTCTTCATGTTTTTTTTTTGACACCTCACTAACTCTCAATGGCAGATTCACACAGTGAATGAGAGTGGGTTTGACAATCCTGTGTGAACTGTCCATTTGACATCTTATCAGAGAAACTCGAATACTATACTATAATATATACTTGATTAAATTAAGTAAATAAATAAATAATTGTTAAAAAGTACCTACCCGGAGCATATACAAGCAGTTTTTAATGAGTGGCTCACTGAATCATTTACTCATCTAGTTTTTTCTATCTATTTATCTATCTATCTATCTATACACACAGTGGCAAGAATACATTAGAGGACCCTTTAAAAAAATCTGAATTTCTCTATTAATTGCTGATAGAATCTCTTTTAACACGCAACCAGTTGTACTCTTTTACATTGTATTGAAGACATTGTGTGATCATTGACAGCGCAGGCTGTCAGTGAAAAAGTCAGTGAAACTCTGTTATGACTTCTCCAAAAGCTAATTGGAGTCAGTTAAGGAGATGAGATTGAAATTATGGGTCACACAGGTGTCCTGGCCTTTAAATAAAGGCATACAAAGCCTGGTTACTTACAAATATGCTCTTATACTAACAGATTGGTTAGTGTGAACCATGCCTTGATCCCAACAGCTTAAAAAGGCATTACAGAGATGCAAAAAGATGGATAAGCTATACAAAAGTATTGCTAATGAATCCACAGTAAGAGTCAGTCTACAAATGTAGAAAAGTCTGGACGTTGATACCCTCCCTAGGAGCCGGCATCCTGCGCAGATGACTCTAAGAACAAAACGGGCAATCCCTAAAGTTGAAAAAGAACCCAAGAGTAACAGCAAAAGACTCTCCGAAAACTCTACAAACTGTAGAAGTTTTTGTTCAAGTGTCCACTATCACAAAAAAAAAAAAAACTGAACAAGAATGGTGTTCCTTAAAGGATAACACTAGGGAAGCCACTGCTGCCAATAATAATTGAGGCATGTCTGATGTTTAACCAAGACAACTTAGTTCTGTCATGACAACTCTCGGCGAGTTTAGCATGGTAATGTACATGACAATCTTAATGTGTTTGGTCTTGGCGGAATAGATCTGCTATGTTTCCGATTCGACAGAGCAAGTATCGAGACTTGCTATTGCCAATACATATACAGTACAGCGGGTAAAATAAGTATTGAACATGTCACCATTTTTCTCATTAAATATATTTCTAAAGGTGCTGTTGACATTAAATTTTCACCAGATGTCGGTAACATCCCAAGTAATCCATACATACAAAGAAAACAAAACAAATAAGTTCAGAAATTAATTTCTGTGTAATAAAATGGAATGACACAGGGGGAAAAGTATTGAACACGCTTACTGGAATTTATTAATTACTTTGTACAAAAGTCTTTTTTGGTAATGACAGCTTCAAGACACCTCCTGTATGGAGAAACTAGTCGGTGTGTTTTTGGCCCATTCCTCCACACAAACAGTCTTCAAATATTGAAGGTTCTGTGGGCCTCTTCTGTGAACTCTGATCTGTAGTTCTTTCCATAGATTTTCTATTGGATTAAAGTCAGGTGATTGGCTGGGCCATTCTAGCAGCTTTATTAGCTTCATCATGCTTTTTCTTCAGCAATAGAGCCTTGCGTGGTGAGCATGGTGAGCGTGCATACAGGCCACGGCGGTGCATTACTTATTGTTTTCTTTGAAACAATTGTACCTGCTAATTCCAGGTCTTTCTGAAGATCTCCACAAGTGGTCCTTGGCTCTTAGAAAACTCTTCTGATAATTTTTTCACTGCTCTGTCCGAAATCTTGCGAGGAGCATCTGGTCATGGCCGGTTTATGGTGAAATTATATTCGTTCCACTTCCGGATTATGGCCCCAACAGTGCTCATTGGAACATTCAGAAGTATAGAAATCCTTCTGTAACCAATGCCATCAGTATGTTTTGCAACAATAAGGTTGTGAAGGTCTTGAGAGAGCTCTTTGCTTTTACCCATCATGAAATGTTTCTTGTGTGACACGTTTATAATGAGACACCTTTTTATAGGCCATCAGTTGGGACTAAACCAGCTAATATTAATTTCCACTGACTAGGGGCAGGATTGCTTTCTAATTACTGATAGATTTCTGCTGGTGTATTGGCTTTCCATGCCTTTTTGCATCTCCCTTTCTTCATGTGTTCAATACTTTTTCCTATATGTCATTCCACTTTATTACACAGAACTTAATTTCTGAATTTATTTGTTTTGTTTTCTTTATGTATGGATTACTTGGGTTGTTACCGACATCTGGTTAAAATTTCATGTCAACTGCACCTTTAGAAATATATTTACTGAGAAAAATGGTGACGTGTTCAATACTTATTTTACCTGCTGTACATGTTGCTGTGAAATACTGCTGTTGCCCATATAACATATATGAAACAACCCCCATATATATCATACATGAATCGCCCAGTAGCAGATCTATACAGGTGGAGCTGGGGAAGGAGAGGGTTTCTGACGTGCGCAGCAAATGCTACAGCAAGCACTGGCCAAGTATTTGAATCTTGGGCAGAAAGCTCATTGGCTGCTGATGCAACTAGAACCGATCAGCTGCGCCATGTGAATAATGATCCGATTATGTCAGACTGAATTAGAAGCTATCAACCTGCACCATCTAGAGTTTCATGACAGAACTTTGTATTTGTTCAACAAGACTTTTGGGAAAATGCTCTCTGAAAAATTGGAACACCAGCTCCAAAACCTTATCTAAACTGTAAAGCATGGTGGACAGAGCATCATGGTTTAATGCTGCTTTGCTGCCTCAGGGTGTAGAAACTTTGCAATCATTAAGAGAACAATGAATTATAATGTGTATCAAGACATTATAGGAGAATATCAGGACAGCCGCTAATGACTTCAATCTTCAAACAGGCTGGGTGATGCAACAAGACAATGACAAATCATATAAGTAGCACCAACTAAAGAATGGCTGAAAAAGAAGAAGATGCCTGGGTCCTGACCTTGAGCCGATTACGATTCTGTGGCATGACCTAAAAGAGGGCTGTGCTATCAAAACAACACAGAAACATGGATACTGAACTGAAACAGATTTGTGGGGAGGAATGGTCCAAAACCAGTCAAAAGTCCTATAAGCAGCTACAAAAAAATGTTTGGTGGAGGTTTTGCTGCTAAAGGAGGATCTACAAGTTACTAAATTCAAGGTTTCATTTACTTTCCCCACCCTGCACTGTAAATAATTACTCAATGCATTCAATAAAAGTGTGAAAAAAACCCAATTATTTGTGTGTTATTACTTTTGTCAGATTATGTTTATCTCTAGTTAATCAAAGATTACCACATTTTGTGAGCAGTAGATGAAGAAATACAGATATTTCAAAGGGTTCACAAACTTCTTTCCACTGTATATATAGTCTTATATAATCTTCATTTTATTTTTTACCTCTATGACCTCAGCCATGGGTGTGATGGTGTTGGTCTTGCGAGAGCCAATGCGGAACTTGGCAGCCTTGTAAATCTTCCAGTAGACAAAGAGCACCACACAGAGGGGCAGGTAAAAGGCTCCAAAGGTGGAGAAGACTGTGTAAGATGGCTCCTGGCTTACTTGACAAGCCAGGCTGTCTTCCGAGTATGTCTCACCCCAACCGAAGAGTGGCGAAAGCGAGATAACAGAAGAGAGCAGCCATGTGAGGCCGATCATCACATTGGAGATTCGTTTACGTGTCTTCAACGTGTACTCCAGGTGGCGTGTGATGGACCAGTAGCGATCTAGGGCAATGGCCGTCACATTCCAGATACTGGCTGTGCAGCAGAGCACATCGCAGGAGATCCAGACCTGACACAGGGCCCGACCCAGAATCCAACGCCGACCGTAGAGCTCCCTAACCAGACTGAGCGGCATTACCAGTCCTGCAACCATCACATCAGAGATGGCCATGGAGGCAACCAGGTTGTGGGGAACACGATGGAAGGTGCGCACCCTCAGGATGGTCACCAAAACCAGAAGGTTCCATACAAAGGTGGCCACCACTAGCATGGCCAGCAAAGTGAGCGTGAGAACACTGAACACAGAAAATGGACGGTACAGATTACCCGATTCGGATCCTCCGGAGATATTAGCCGAGAGATCTGTAACGTTGGGTTGAGTCATGGCAGCATGTAACGGTATGCAAATAGATATCTGGCTCTCATTAGAGGACAAGGTGAAAATAAATGTCCCTGTCAGAGTGGGTGAATTTTTTACTGTTTTTTAGGCCAGGCATGGTTTTCTTGTTGGATGTTTTCAAGTTCATTCATTTGAAAATATTTGCAAGAGTTCATTTTCTGAGTGGGCGTCATGTGTTCTTGGCACTGCAATTTGTGAGCTTATTGTCCTTTAGCTCACAGTTCTGTATGCTGGTCACTGAAAAAGTAGGCGTTTTAAAGTGCTGCCATACTGATTATAGATGACATTATGATTGAACACATTGATAATCATTTTCAGTTTATAGCCTTCGGCAATTTAGAGGTTCTCAGGACACACATCTGAAGGTGTGAGAAGCCATCCTCCATCCTATAACACAAGAAAAAAGGGCATAAATACATTTCATAGTTCATCCCACAAAATCGTCTCATTTAGCCACCACCTGAAATAGAAAACATCTCTAGGCTATGGAATGGGCTTCCTTCTTTGTGCTCAGATTTCCTGACTTTTTATGATATGACTTACTCCTTTTTTAACCGCTCAAGTCATCTGTACAATACAAACCTGACAGGGAACATGATTTAAAGCTCATTCTTTATTAATTTGACTCGACTTAATAATAAATTGGCTCTTTTATTATTTTTTTGTCTGTAATTCGGTCCATGGAGTCCTTGAGGTTTTAAATCCTCCATTGGGTTAGATGTAATTTGTTCTAAGTGCTTGTGAAACAGATTCGGTTCAGTTATTTGTAGCAATTGAAGTTACACTGGAGACCTCAACTGACTGCCTGACTTCATATTGACTTTCTTGCAATAATGTCAGCTGGAAAAGATCTATCCCACAGGAAGAAGCATCTTTATCCCAAAAGCACAGCCATCTACACTCAAAAGTAGCTGTACCAGAGACTGTCAAAGAGCCAAAAGGCTTTGATTTTCATTAGTTCCTGGTTTATGTGTGTCAAAATCGAACCTCTGTTGGCCTTCAAAACTCAATTAGGGGTACAAAGGCCAGCATGCTTGTCAAGAGAGCTCAGTGGTAGAGTCATCAAAACATCAAATACCTGTCAGCAGCACAACAGCGAAGGGAATATTATAAGCTATCGTATCAGTGATGACAACAATGAGAGGTTCGAGTTTTCTGTCCTGTTGATTGCTGTGTGTGCTTGCCCTCTGTTTGAAAAGAATTAAACTAACACAAATATCATACTTGTTTTCTTTTGGCTGAAAAGAGACAAAGCATAAAAATAGAAAATAAATGGGATTGCTGACAAAAGGGTACTGGGGTGTCAACAGACATTTCTTGTTGATTAATGTACCTCTGATTGCCCATAGTGCATATCATTACCCAGCATGCTCATCAGTAAGTCTGGAGTCTGTCTTGTCAGGAGGAACTGAGAGGAAACACACAATGTCCACACTCGACAGGCTCATTACCACACACAAGCACAGAGGAACACTGATTACAGATTCCCGCTCATTTTCTCTCAGTGCTGCTGAGCTCCGTTTACGCTGTTGGTATGACAAAGTCACTCTAAGGAGAAAGTGAAATTTATGGAAAAGATCTAAGATATACATCAAAAACGTCCGTCATAGTGGCTTGCTAAAATTGCCTACACTTATTTTTGATAATATTCATCATTTTTACCTATCATTTTGCCCACTTTCATCTTCCTTCTCTCTCTGCATCTCTTCATGTCATCTTTAAATCTTTCCCTGCTCTCCTTCGCCTCCATCTCCTTTATTAGCTTGTGCCCAAAGCCATGAAATTGGACACACATGCATCTAAACATATAATCAGTGGCAAGAAAAGCCCTCAGCATATTGTCTTTGGTGGTGTTCAACTAATCATCTCTTACAACTTCCCCTCAGCAAATCAACCAGGGCACTGGACACACACGCTGAGATAAAGACACCTGTCATTTATAGCCATTCCCACAAGAGTGAGATGAAATAAGAGTTTATTTCTGGCTTTTTGTGACTATACGAGCTTCAGAGGATAAAAAGCATTCTGTTGTGTTTTAGAGTTTTTGAGCCTTATTTACTTAACATGCCACATGACAGAGACAGAAATAAACAGTAAGATATTAAAGGGATAGTCCACTCAAATGAAAATTCTGTCATCATTTACTCACCATCATTTTGTTTCGAACCTGTGTGACTTTTAGTCTTCTAGAACACAATGATGACATAATATTCATATTTGAGTGAACTATCCCTAACAGAAAGAGACAGAAGAGACAAGAGAATATATGTACCAATATACTTTGAAATACTCTTTTAAACATAAGGCATGCTCTTGGAACTCTTTAATGGATTGTTCAATTCTGTTAGTCTAGCTCAATATTTAACAATGTCCTCGGGGTGATAAACTCAAGCAATTAACCTGCATAAACTTTTCTTAAGTACTTCAATGTTTTGAACCTTATTTGACAACAACATTTAGCTTTTCAACCTAAATAGAAAGACAAGGAGCTGGTTCCCAGGGTGGCTGCAGATAAATGGTTAAGGTTCCACAAGGTTAATTTCCAAGTAAGGTGACGCAGGAACTGAATAGTTACAGAGATCACAATCCTGTGCTGTCAATATCGTGCTCTCGAGCACAGCACATAACCACAAGCTGCTGCAGGGGGTTGTCTCTGCAATCAGTGTAGTGCATGCTATTTTGAATAAATAAAATCTAATATATCTGACTTGAATAAAATGGGTAAATTTAGGTGTTACCACATGAAGCACATTTTTCAGTGCAATTTGACTCATGGATGTGTTACACTGGATATTATCATGTACATTTAATTGTCCATGTCCATAGATACCCAGACCCTGCTGAAAAGAAAGCTTAAACATGCTTAAACAAGGTTTGATGATTTTAGTGGGTCCTCTTGCCATTTTATAGGAGTTTTGAGAAATTTTTCTGAGATGGTCTGACTGAGAAACCAGCCTACAGACCAACAAAACCAGTACGACAAGGACTTAAAGTCGGCATGAAACGGAAGTTGCGATTGTCTTTTCTTCTCTACTGTGATGTATATCCGAGTGAAACGGCATCTGAAATGAGAGGGTGGGACTTGATTTCGTCGTTCGGGAATTGATTGGATCGTTGGAAGCTGGGGCGTTGCTAACAAAATGGAGGCAGATCTGAATGCCAGTTTGCAGTTAGTGGTGGGGGATTTCTCGCCACTGGATTCACCCAAGCATGAATAAATGTTTTATTTATTAAGGATGACGCTGACAATCAACGGCACAAAACATGCCAAAACAGCGAGAGAGAGAGAGAGAGAGACTGCTTGACTGACTGAGCGCGTCCTCCATCAGGTTAAGTCATATTTATGAAAAAAATTAGTTTGCGATGTCCTAACAGTAATGTTGTCATAATATCCTAATATCTTTTCAATGTTTAGGGGTAACGTACTCCCTCATGACTGGTGTCAGTGCTATAAAGTGAAGCATCAGCTTATCGTTTATCCCAGCGTTTACCCCTCACGTTACTAGCTCCGCCCTTGCACCATAGCTCGTGACCGGAAGAGAAGATGAGTCGTTTTGAGGGGGAGGGGAGGTTAACGTTTCTGATTAACGATTACTAGGGCACATGAATTAAAAAAAAAAAGAATGAAGTGCATGGATAAATGATTTATAATAACACTACAGTATTCCATTAAAAAATAAGAATTTTCCATTTTGATTTCATGGTGACTTTAAAGTGTTTTAGCAGATGAAGAGACCTAGTAATGGCAAGCTGTACTTATACAAGGTTAAAGAAACAAGACACAACAGACACAATACAAACCTAGTGAGAATAAACTGCCTAGTGATTTTTTTAATTGTTATAAAATTATGCAAATGCATTATATGATTGGTCTGCGGTGTCTAGATAAACCAAAAGTACTTAATGAGGGCAATTATGACAGCCATTGAACAGAACTACTGTGTAATAGGATAGTGTTTTGTTTGTCAAAACAGTAAGCAGCAATAACAGTCCACAATTAATACACAATGATAACATTACATTTCTAATTATACTTGTTCTAATGAGAGGAGGTTACTGCATACAAACAGAGAGAATGGTTTTACCATGCCAATAAACCTACTGAGAGAGAGAGAGAGAGAGAGAGAGAGAGAGAGAGAGAGAGAGAGAGATTCAGTCAATGGATTTACACTAAAGCGAGCTGTTGTGAACGAACGACAATAGTTCAGCGAGACATGCGTCAAATGCGCCACATAATAACATTAAAATGCAGATCTCATCACTCGCTCATTATTGACACATTATTCCCTTTACGTTAAGTTAGTGACATTTTATGTTTTAAAACGTGGTTGGACCGACTGTTAGCGACATGAGATTATTCCTCTTGCTATTTTATGTTCTTTGTGGCAAGAAATTATATTTATTCTCTGCATAAAAGCGGAGCTTTATGTAAATCAATGCCCCAGCATGAGTGCAAACTCTCTGATTCAAGCGCTTGTCACTCAAATGAGGGTCTCGCGCGGTGCTGAAGCATCAATCGCTGATTTCTAAGAAAGAGTGCGCGACTAGCAGCAGCAACATCCCCTGAAAGCTGTCGTTCAGTAGTGTGCTGAAAACATCTCACTTCAACAACAACCTACTTCAAACCTGCCAAGTTCAAATCAACACATTTCAGAAATTAAAGCGAGAGCGATCATGAACGTAAAATAACGGGTGTTTACTTCTGGCTTCGCGACACGGGCACAATCAAATGTTCCTGCATCCACTGGGAACAGAAACTGCCTCCTTCATTTTTTTTTCTGATATATGCCTTTTAATCATGACATTTAAATCCCAAAGGCTTTAAAGGTGCTGCATTAAAAACGTTGTTTCCACACTTCACTTAAAGGGCACCCAAATATTTTCTCAGAGCTTTACATCCTATAGGAAAGGACGACTGTAAATAACATTTATTTTTTCACTTATTTTGAAATGCATATGGACAACATACAGTCCATGTATCTCGGTAAATGTCGACAATGCAGCACACTTAACCTAGCGTTATTTACACTTTGCACACAGAAAATGTCTACTAAAGCTCTTATTACTCACCCTTAATTACAAAAGCAATACGAAGATGCTGCAGAAGTGCAGGATTGCTTTGCTTTTGGCTGTCGAGCGCAATTGTTCTGTCCACCTGAAACCGTCTTCATCTAAAAACACACTATACTTGAGTCAAGGCTTCAACACCGCATGTGGATTGAACCAATGTGTGGCGTAGGGGTGTTGCGTGCATACCGAAGAATTCTAGCTGCAAGTATCACATAATCAGACTATTAAGGACGTTAAGCTGTTGGCAATAAGTGACTCCTGTAAATGCTGCAAACATCGATAATTTGTACACTATTGTTAATAACGGATCAAGAGCATGATGATAAGCTTAAACTTTTTACCTGTCTTGAACAAAAGTTGTTAAAAGTTATGTTGTATTTTAGTGACATGGAGGCAGTGTAGATCACGTTAAGGCTCTGTTCCACACACACACAATGATCTATATTCATATTTAATTAGTTCAATCTGAAGCCTATTTCAGTTACAGCTGCTTTTTTTTCCCTCGTCGTCTTTCCTTTTGGGACCAGCGCGCACATTAAACTGGAAATTATAAATCCTATAGTGGCCACACGGCTTAATTTAATCGAAAAAAGGTCTTCATATGTCAAACACAAAAACTAGCAGAGATTCATAACTCAGAATAGACAGGAAACAATTTCCTCAATGCCTTGACCCAAGACAGTCGATAATACAATAACAAATTAGGTTTGTTGTATGAAATGTTATACGAAAAGGTATCATTGCATCCCCCATATTTGTGGTTTTTAGCTGGTCGATGGAACAAACTAATTGTTATTTCATTTATAATCAATTTAAAGGGATAGTTCACCCAAAAATGAAAATTAGCCCAATTTTTACTCACCCTCAATCCATCCTAGGTGTATATGACTTCCTTCTTTCAGATGAATCCAATCGGAGTTATATTAAAAATTGTCTTTGATCTTCCAAGCTGTTTAATGGCACTCAGCGGGTGTTGCAGTTCATCAGTCCAAAAGACGTGAAATAAAGAGCATCCATCCATAATAAAAAGTGCCTCACACGGCTCCGGGGGGTGAACAAAGGCCTCCTGTAACGAATCGATGCGTTTTTGTAAGAAAAATATCCATATTCAAAACGTAATAATCACTTTAATCTAGCCTGCGCCAACAGTTGTACACTGGAAGCAGCTCCGGGCGGATGACGTAATGTCGGCGTTACGCATGCGCCGGTGAGTCTCGTGAAAACCAACGTTTGTTTACAGGAGCAAAGGAAGCAAAGTTTCCTTACTTTAGCAAAGAAAAACTAGTCTCCTCTTGGCTTATATCAAAATCTTCCGACATTCGGACTCGTAACCCAAAGGTTGCGGGTTCGAGTCTCGTACCGGCAGGGATTGTAGGTGGGGGGAGTGAATGTACAGCACTCTCTCCACCTTCGATACCACGACTGAGGTGCCCTTGAGCAAGGCACCAAACCCCCAACTGCTCCCCGGGCGCCGCAGCATAAATGGCTGCCCACTGCTCCGGGTGTGTGTGCACTTAGGATGGGTTAAAATGCAGAGCCCTAATTCCTAGTATGGGTAACCATACTTGGCCACATGTCACGTCACTTTCACTTTTTCACTTTCATTCTTCTTTACAAATCCAGTCCGATTTGCAAGTTAACGAGCTTGCCGACAGGTCGGGCTGTGATCGGGGAAAATCAGCGGGTGATCGGCGCTCGGCAATCTTTATGTGTGAACTACACAACGACGCATCAAAGAGGCTCGCTGATGCGTCGCCGACACCTCGTCGAAGGCAAACAAATATCTAGCATGCCAAATATCTGGACCGGTCGGCTGACTCGACATCACGTGGTGTCAGGTGTCGCGATGAGCTACAGCCAATGAGAGAGCAAGGAATGGGTTGCGGTCACTGGAAGAAAAACAACAGCAGCAACATGGCTTAAAGAAAAGTTTGGACACAATAAATGGAGAAACATTTTTAATCGAGCAAACAGCTTGCAGCGCTAATTTCTTCCCAACATCCATTATAAAATAAACAACTCCTGTTTCACATATTGTTTTGTGTCATTCCCGTTCCAATTCTCGCGTGTGTTTTTGTGACAAAACGTGGTTTGTAGAGTCGTTGGGTGACAGAGTTGTTGTCAGCTTGTGTAGTGTGTAACCCCCGG